AACAAACATCAGGGGAGCAGCAGCACAAACACGACAGGGCTTCAAAACCAGAATGCTGCTGCACTCAATTGAGGCACAGCCAACCCTTCAATAAACAGACCTTCACCTCCACCTCAACGAGCCACACCTGTTGCCCGTTAAGATGGAGGTGAAGAATGCAGCGGGGGGAGGGACTGCAAGGACAAACCCTTACAATACAGTATGTAGCCTAGGAGGGCAGGAGCAATTAAACCCACTTAATAGCCAAGTAAACTGTAAAATTAACAGGCCCGCAACAAGGCAGGGACAATTTTATTAGTCAATACAAAACCTGGTATTCTGTTGGTTGGCGATTTTTGACAGGAATGTGTCACAAAAAATCCAAGCGCAAGCAGAAATGTGCCAAGCACACAGGGAGTTTGAGGGTGAGGAGAAAAGGCTGAAGCTTGCATGCAGGAAATCTGTCCAAGCCGCAGCAGATCTGAGTATAAGCACACAGTTTGAGTAGAAGCAGCGCAAACCGCAGCGCAAACCAAAGCGTAAGCAGGGACTGTTTGAGTGCGAGAGCAGAACTTTAGCGGAAAACATTACAAAATCTGAACATGATATCACTTCGTCCGCTCTCAAGTTGAAATCCCACACTCTTGAGTAAAAACAGGAATACAACTCCATAAAAACCAGTTTTTTTTAATCAATCCTTTTCCGAATAATAGACCTTAGCAAAGATAGTCATTTCAGTGTTACAGAACATGCAGAGCCAGGTTTTGGAGTTGGCTTGCGTTTAGTGATCAAGCTGCTTTTCTTCTTAGTTTGGAAAGCTGTGTTGAGGAATGCAAATATTTCTCCAACAAAATTACCTTGTCACAGTTTCATTGTTAAGCACTGACATTCAGGGTTATTTGAACTTGGTGGGCTTCTCTTGAGGACAGAAATGAACAGTCACAACAGAAGGAGGCCTGGCTGGAGCAAAATGCATTTGTTCCGACATCCCCATTTGTTTGTACAGCTCAGTGTTGACATTGCCAAATCTGAGACATGCACATAAACAAGAAAATAAACCGTGGTTTTCTAAGGCTTTTGGGGTTGATGCTATATGACACTCTGAATCAGAACATTTTGACGAATGCTTTTGTTTACATACACGTCTGAAATGATTGATGAGTAATTTGACATTTGTGCAAACAGTTCTCTGCAAACAGTGGGCGAAATGAAGATAAGGAACGGCACAAAGGATTGCATGATCATTTTCTGCAAATCATAAAATGGAAATTTGAGCAGAGAAGTGTTCCGTATAAACTTATTACAGATTACACAGATTAATCTATGCAGGCTGATACTTTTGCAGGCAGACACTCTTATCCCCCAACTAATTTTATTTTGGGCAAAGACAACGAGTAAAAACAAAATGAAGGTTTTAAGTAATCATTTCATTTATTGAAGGTAAAGCATTATTCAAAGCCTGTACCACCCATGCAAAGAAAGATTGCCCCCCGAAACCTTATTACTGGTGGTGCCACCTATATCGCCCTGTAGCGCTGACTTCAGTCCTTTGTAAACTAATGGAGAAAATAGCAACAAACAGGTTAGTGTTTTACATATAGTGTGGGGGATTGTTCACAAATTATCAGAATGGATTTAGAAATGGTCGGTCCACAATGAAATCCGTGGCAACTCAGCCAGCATATAGGTAAGGCAATTGTCAATAAAGAAGTCGAAGTAAGTGCATTTTTAGACATTGAAAAAGCGTATCACACATTATGGAAGGGGGGACTAATAATGTAATTGCATGAAATGGGTATCCTAGACAGTATGCTGAACTGGATTAAGTTTTTTTTCCTCATGAATTGGACCATTCAGGTAAGAATTGGAGGAACCAGCTCAAAAAAGGTTGAAATAGAAAAGGCACACACCTCAGGTAGGTGCGATCAGCCCTGTGCTATTCAATGTTATGATTAATGATATCTTTCAGGATGTTGGAGAAGGGTTTGGACAGTCTCTATTTGTGGACGATGGCGCACTCTGGAGGAGAGGGAGAAATGTGAATAATATCATGAAGCAGATGCTGAGGGCATTAGGCTCAGTAGAAGAATAGGCTAATAAATGGGCATTTACAGTAAATGATCCACAGCCAATTCCTAGTACATTATTTTCAGTTATGTTGAGGAATTTTCCCTTTATAAGTTAGTGCTTTATGAGCGTCCGCTTCAAAGGGTCAAAGAATTCAAATTTCTCAGGGAGTGGTTAGATGAGCGGCTCACATGGAGGGTTCATGTGGAAAAAATTATTAGCAAGTGTGAAAAAAACATTAAATGTTATGAGCAGTCTTGCAGGATGTGACTGGGGTGCAGAGAGGGATCGACGTTGCTAATATATCAGGCATAATTAAATCTTGTTTGGATTATGGATCTTTTGTGTTTGGATCAGCTGCAAAAAACAACCTGAAGAAAATGGATGTCATTCAGGCCAGAGTGTTGATGCTTATTTGTGGGGGATTTAGGTCAACTCCTATCTCAGCATTGTAAGTAGAAATGAGGGAAATTCCCTTATTTATGAGAAGAATGAAATGAGGATTACAGTAAAAAGGCATGAGGTCCAACTTCCCAGCTTAGTGCCTTATATCAGAATGGGAAGAAATCGGTGCACAGACTAAGAACAAACACTTTCTGAGGGAGGTTGAGGAGTGACACTTACATCACACTTGGTACTACCTTCCGCTGTGTGTAATGCAGCAAACGTGAAAAAATAGAGGAAATCAGAAGGGGGAAAATACTTTTTCACAGCACTGTATGTGTCTTTTTTCACAAGGAAGGAATATGACCCTTTGTGAAGTTTCTGGCTCCCTGCTTGGATATGCAGTGTGATATTTCAGGGTTTGAAAGCATAAGCTAATTACATGAACTTATTATTCCCCTGTGTGTAAGGTATTAAGGTAACAGTTTGGTTTTTCGACATTATATGAATTTTGAGGCAGTGTTAATGGGATTAATAGGTTCACTTTATGGTATTCAGTTGACACATCACAAATTAATCCCTTATTATCGGCTGACGTGTGAATTTATTCATTTATTAATTAGGTCTCCGTTTTTCTCCACCCTGAAATTAACCAAACTCTGCCCATCCACACAAGAGGAAGATGATGTGGCATGCGATGCCTCTAATTCACATTAAGACTAGCTGTGCAGTCGCACTACCAATCAGGTACTGCCTACACCGTCAGACGATAACGGAATGAGACTATCAAATTTTGACTAGCTTAACCGGTATTATCCCCAGCAAGGCTGAGGTATGAGTTGCCTCCCCCATTATGGGCTGCCGGTAGTAGCGTGGCTGGGATCTGAACACCCAAACTCAAGGCTTTCAAACTAATGTTTTAGCCTAGAGCCAATCAAAGACCGAAGTTTGAATTTATGAATGTAAACCTAAACATCACTGTTAATACCTCAGTGTCCTGCTGAATTTACATCAACTTTGGCAATTGGCTGCAAAGGCGCTCATCACCATACAATGTTTACACAATACAATGTTTATACAGTTTAATTTCTTTTATCTTACTTTCAAGTATTAAGATTTGACCATTGCAAACTTATGCTAGGTTAAACTCTCCTTGTATTCCGATAGATATGGTGCTGTGTTTCAGAGAAGGGGGCTTATATTTATAGCATTTGGCGGCAGAGACTGTGAAGCAATGTGCAGCTGTCTGCTGTCATTCTTTGAGAAAGGTGTTGAATGTGGACACTGAGCATGTGCAAATGCAAAGACAACCCTGGAATGGCAGGACAGTGACTGCCTTATCTATCCTTCAATCAGTTTTTTGGTGTTCCGGAGCATTTAACAGGATATTAGTCACATATAGTATAACAGAACATGCAGCTGAAATGTGAATATGGCCATGCACATTATAAACTAACACATTTTCTGCCGTCTGGTCCTCGCACATCCAAAGTTACGACAAAGGAATGTTGAAAATTAGGCAGCATTCGGGCTGGTTGCACCCCACAGCTGGCCAATTTTGTTTCTCACTGCACTGCAGCCAAACAAACTCCATTTACATTATACAAACTTGCTGGAAGTTCTCGCACAGACATGTACAGTCTGGTCCGTATGTATTTGGACAGTGTCACATTTTTCATTATTTTTGCTCTGTATACGACCAAAATTAATTCTAAATAAACTAGGGGGCACTCTGAGAGTGCATACCTCCGCCTGCAGGTTTAGATCCTCTGGCACTTATAATTAGCTGCAGAATCTGGATCTGTATCCAGATTAGTCTGGAAATGAAATCACCTCTTTGCATTCATACTGGCCAACATCCCATAAAATTTTGTGGCATTGCGTTGAATATTTTTTGAGTAATACTGCTGACAAACACACATATGTAAACACACACACACACTCATTTATTTACAAACATTATGTACAATATGTACAGCATGAAGGTATATGAGATGATGAGATGAAAAAAATTTTTTTTGTTTCGCCCCTGCCTGCTCTGAATACGTCCTATATCCTCTAACTTTGTGCCACTCGCTTGGTCAAGCTAAATGCCATGAATATGAGAGCACATGGCCTCTGGTTTCAAAGACCCACAGAGATGCATCAGGTCGATGAGTTATGCCAGCATTGCTGGTTTTTGGGGGGATTTGTCAAGCATTCTTAGCTTTCAGCTTCATGCATGCTCATTGGTAGTCTCTGAACATGATACATTTTTCTGTTTTCTTGCTAAATCAACTTGAATGCAATAAGTACATGATATTTTCATATCACATAGTACATTTCCTCATGATATTAGCATCAAGGGAATAAAGAACTTTGCATCGCCATGTATGTAGTCTCATCATATTGTATTGTATATGCAGTCATATCTCTGTCACTGCTGCCGATTGCTTTCCTCCATTAACTGCCTGATTTTGTGTTGTCTCTCCATGTCTGTGGCATGGTCCTGGCCTGAGCATGCTGCCTTTGCCATCATCACCATCTGGCCCTCAACCGACATGCTGCCTGGTGAGTGGCACAGTGGGGGTGGCATGGTGGGACAGTGATTAGCACTCCTGTCCCGCAATAAGGAGGCTCCGGGTTCGAGTGCCAGCCAGCCAGGGCCTCCCTGCATGGAGTTTTCATGTTCTCCCTGAGTTCACATACCTCCAGGTACCTAACCTCGCCCCCCATGCAACAGTTTTGAACTGGGGTTGGTCCCTGGGCACTGCCTGTGGCTGCCCATTGCTCCTAACTATAGGACGGGTTAAAAGCAGAGGACAAATTACCCCATGGGGTCCAATAAAGTATATATCATCTTATCTGTCGCCATCATCTAAATATTTCAGTCCACAGCAACACCCCCACTGATTCCAAATCCAGGACTGCACTTTTCAAGACTTTTTGAACATGTCGGAAACCATGAACTCATACACTTAGCCGGTCAAAGGAGGCTGGGCTTCCCCTCTTAAGCCTGGTTGCTCTCAAGTTTTTGTCCTACTTTGTTCTACATAAGGACTTTTCCCTTGCCACTGTCGCTGCAGGCTTGCTTTTGATGGGGTTCAAGTCAGGGTTTACTGTAAAGCGCATTGTGGTAATGCTTGTGAAATATGCTATTTTGATGAAACTTAAGTTTTTCTTGTATTGTTGACTTCAAAAGGAATGACAACATGGCAGTTGTTTCTCACATAGTCGCGTCATTCAGAGTATTTCTCTTGTATTGGCTTGTAGAGAAATTGTTGGCTGCGGGGCTCTCACTTCACATAGAACACTTCACTAAGGATATTTCTCTTGTATTGGCTTCAAAAGAAATTGTGCCAGCTGCCGAGCTGTCACAGCATATTGACCACTTCACATAGCATATTTCACTTGTATTGGCTTCAAAAGTAATTATGCCAGCCGCTGGGTATGACTACACACAGAACACATCAAATGGCATATTTCTCTTGTATTAACTTCAAGAAAAATCGTGCCAGCGGCTGGGCTGTCATTACACATAAAACACTTCAAATAGCTTACTCTCTTGCATTGATTCCAGAGATATTGTGTCAGCTCCCAAGCTGTCTTTAGCCATTGCACATGATTTTACTCTGAAGCCCAGTTAGCCCATGCCAATCCATGGTTCTGTTTGGGGGGTAAGTAGCAGCTCCCTGCCTTTGGTTCCACACCTGAATGGACAGTGAGCTCATAGAACAGAGCCATATCACCAAAGTCAATGTATGCTTGTAAGCCTTAAACTATTTTGACAACTTGTCATGACAGAAATGGAGCTCTTAGGAAATTCTGGTTGATGCGATGCCAAGCTATCTGATCAGCTGTTGTCCAACTGTTTTCAGATCACCTGAGTCACATGCACATGTAACAGTCACCTGACTTCTCTCTATTAGATGATTGGTTGATAGTTAAATCTTAAGTCTTATTTAAGCTCACCTTCATACCTTCATAGAAGCTATTTCTAACCACGCTCACTTCACAACCCTCCACCACCCCAACTCCACCTGTCTACTATTGCATTCATTGTTTCAAGACAAGTCACACTGATATTTAACAATGATAATGACTCCTTTGATTTCATTGTCGCTGTCGGCTTTGTTCCATGGGGTGTGCTTATTTGCAGATCCCTGACATTGGTTCTACACCTGGATGGGCAGTGAACTCTCAGAACAGATCAATATCGCCAAAGTCAATGTATACCTTAAAGTAGTTTGACAAAGTGTTCTTACAGAACTTTGTTTTATATTAGCAAGTTTGTTATCATACTGCTTGCCTATTGTAGTTGTGTCAAGGCCATATTTTTCCTTGTGAGTCATGTGTCTTACAATAGTGGCTGATGATCAAAATGTTGTCAGAGACAGAAAAAAAGTGTGGCCCAATGGTAGCTTGTACCTGTCAAATACTTGTAATGTCATGGACACTTATGATTTCATTGGCCGGATAGACTGAGAGTTCAGTTGTTGGCACGGATATAGAAAGTTGATCCAGTTGCATTTGCGAAAGAATTGGTGGTTCTTTTTTTACGATTCTGTAGAAATAACTATACTTACCATGGCGATGATGTTCGATGCCACTGACATTGTCAGAAACTTTGATTAAGCATAAACCAATACGTATCATCCGACCCTTAAGATGTCTGTCGACAAATGTGTTACAATTCAAAAATGGCCTTTGTTCTTTAAAAATAATAAATAACCAACCTTCTAAGCATTTGTTTTGTTCAGAGTAAAGGGAAGATCTAAATTTCTAACACTAAAGGTTCTATATATGAAATTTTGAAGATTAATAGAGTGGAAAACAATATTAACAATTTAAAGATAATTTAGAGGAATAATGATGTCCTGAACAGAGGATGAAGTCACAGAAATGTCCTCCATTGTTATTTTCCGACACTATATATTAAATAAACTGTCAGATTTTCATGTCTTGATTTAGGTAAATTTTTATGCGATATTTGTAGGCTACATGGTAATTAAACATTAATGAATTCACTGTCTCCCTGAATTTCTTGATGCATTAATAAAGAGAGCAGTCAGCAATTACGCATGTCAGTGAATAGAATTTTGCTTGTGAATACAAGAGATCGAGCTTTCAAAGCCTGGTTGAAACAACAGAGCAGCGACTGAATATGCAAGTAATGTAAATAGAAACACTGGACTCATGCATGTTGGTAACGTGGTGCTGACGTCTCACTCACGTGACATACCAGGTGTAGATTAGGAGTAAACAAAATATGCAATCAAAATTAACATTGGAGGGAGACAGATTCAGAATTCAAGGAAATAATAAGTTGTTCAATTAATACCTATATGAGAACCTTAATTTTATTGACAAAATGTTGATTGACCTACAGTTGGATGTAAACATTGGTTCACCCAGGTAGGTGCAACGACGACTGATTTTCTCACATCTTGAGAGAACTGATTGTCTTAAAAAAGTCACCCAATATTTAATGGGAGTTCTTAAAATGTGTCTATTTGCTTTAAGAGAAATTGAGTCCAAACTGTATCAATAATTGGCATTTGATTCCTTAAGGTTTTTAAGAATTTTGCATGTTTTTGTTCAGAATCTTTGTCAATACTGGAAGTTGGATATTACAGATTTAGCAGGGAAATAATTTGACCTCAAAAAAATCTTTGTGACTCTTTCAGACTTACTACAAAAATATCAGCCATTTGGGTTTCGTGGATCTTGTTTTTCTTGTGAGTTATTCAATCAACCGAGTTATATCAAACAGATCTGTAAGTTGTTCAAGGTTCTTTTCTGATAGTTTAATATTGTCAATTCAAATTAAAATCACTGAGAATAGTAATTTATTGGCATGTGACAAATTCTGTGAGAATATTTTAAGAATACACTTGAAATATATTTTATGAAGGCTTGTATTAATAGATTTGTGGGGACAAATTTATGTTGATAGGGTAGCATTGCATTCAATTTCAAGCATGCATATAGAATGTATTTGTAGCTATTTAATCTGATCTCTTGTTCAAATATACTGTTTTACATGAGAAAGGTGAGAAACATGAATTCTACCATCCTCAGAGTAATAGACCATTCTTTACCCAGATTTGAGAGTACTGATTATTTACAAATACAGACTGGAGATGCTGTTGAATTATTAAGTTGGCCTCATACCGAAGAAAGTTTTTTGCTGTGACATCTCCAGGTAATCGGCACAACTTATAATCATCTCTACACCCATCTGTGTGTCCTTGACAAAACTTACTTTTGTATCAATAATTAATTTGCAAGGGGTCTCTGAGGAATCCAGCTTCTCCCATAAGGCCACCCTGTCTACCACTAAGAGAAGCTAGAGTCTGTGTGGTACGGTTCACTAGGGACTCTAGGGAGATGACAAATGTCAGTGAAAGATGATCACGCTGGAGGTGTAGATGCCTCACATGTTTTCTACACTCATAAAAACATATGCCCCAGTTTAAAAGCCTCACAGTTGCCTTCACGAGGGAAGCCACAGCCAGCTCAAGATGACAAATGAAAACTGAAAGAACAAAACAGCAAATAGGAACAACTTATGTTAAAAACAGGATACAAATAAAGGGGATACAGTTTTTTTTTTTTTTTTTTTTGCAAGCATTTTAAGAAAAATGTCGGGGTCCCAAGCAGGTGCGACGGCAAAAAAGCCTTCTTCCAACAGGAATATAAGGAAGCTGCGTACTGTCAGCATGGTGTGCAGCCTGGCCAAAAGCTGGCAACAATGGATTACTGAGAAGGAGGTAAAACAGGCCAGCGAGCCTGCTGGCTGGTCTCCTGATTCTGTCGAGCATACGTCGCCTCATCAATGGAGCGCGGTGCCCTCTGAGAAGCGGCCTCGGCCCAGTCCGAGCACCTCCATCACTGCCTCAGCCCCTACTGGGACCACATCCCTACCCCAAGAGCCCATAGCTAAGCCTCAGGAAGACAAGAGTGTTCCTGGGGAATCCAAAATCAAAAGCAAGCAGGTGGTTAAGTCTGTATCCAGCAGTGTTCAGGAAAAAGGAATGGGCATTGAGTTTCTCACCAACCGTTACAGTAAAAGCACAGATGAAGTTGACAGGATACTGAGCAAAACCACAGATGAAGTTGACAGGATACTGAGCAAAAAGACTTCACCTACCAGACGGAGAAAGTGCTCCAACTTGGTCTCGGAACTAACTAAAGGCTGGAAAGAGGTGGAGGAGCAGCAGAAGGTAGCACAATGTCTGGAAGAACACAGGACTCGTAGCATTGACATGGAGGACAGTGCTTTCTCAGATGCTGGCTCATATTCGCCAGATAATTCAGAATTTCCTGACCAAGGGAGAATGAAAGAAGGCAGCAGAGAGGCAGATGATCAAATTTTTGAATTCTCTGCAAGGATTAAAAGACCTGCCATGACAATGTGAGTGTTTTCCCAGAGGTATAATTAATCAGGGCTTAGCTACAGACAGAATATGCAAGTATTTAATTTGCAGATTACACTTATGATACCTAGCTTTGGATTAAAAAAAAAAAAACATGATGTGAGATTTAAAGCTGCTATAACTGATTTGGTCGTTTTCGTAGCTTCTTGTCTAAAGCCTATGTAAGCAGTACCCGCCCCCCATCCCCAAGTCAGGCATAGGAACACGCATCGGTTTCCGGTAGA